ATTTCAACATGGATGGTTATATTTGAGAGTTAAGGATTTAATTATTGTTTTGATCGATAATCTTATTATGTTTTTCTAACAGAGCATAGGCCGCCATCGTGATATAAGACTCCCCCTACTCATCTGACCCAAGTGACCTTGCTCATACTCATTCTAACTCCGAGTTAGCAAGCAAGTTGAATTTCTAAGAGGATGGGGATAGCTGATGTCATTGCCCTAGATGGAGATAGGGCCCTATAAAAATCTAGAAGTGCTTCAGAGCGGCTCCTAACCAGTTCGTCCAAGTTAAGTTTGGATCTATCGGGGTAGGAAGATCTTGATTAAACTGGGAAAGTGGCTTGAGGTGTATCCATTGGAGGAAAAGGTATAGTTGGTTCTAACCTCATCGCCAAAGATGGTGGCAGAGCTGGAGGGGAGATAGACTTCCTTGGAGGAACTCGCCATAGAACATCTAACAAAGGAGACGTCACTGTCTGCTACCCCTTTCCTTTTTTGACTGCGTAAAGGGTTGTAGGATTTGTGAGCTTCAATAAAACCCATCATCTCAATATTAGGACTTGCCAAGAAATAGGTCAGGAAAATGTAAGTCTGAAAAAAGAAATGACTCAAAAATTAAAGTCAACAAAATTGGACAATCATACCAGAAACTAAAGGAGGGGGCCCGTAAAAAGTCTGAAATCGCTAATTAATAAGGAATAAGACAGCTGCTCACATCATAAGGCCCTAATTACGTTAACCATTTCCTGTAGCTCCGGGGTGATTATGGACGATTGATAAGCTGCAAGAAAATCTCATTGTTAGAATGAATAAATAAAAGTAAGCCTACGAGAATAAGAGTGACCATAGGCTTACTCGATTTTTTATATCTGGAACGGACCACCTCGTCCCTTCCCACCTCAGACAATGGAACTGTTAATCACCTCTAACAAAAAATAATTCTTCTTTCAACCTCTTAATGGAGAGAGAGGAACCACAAAACCACCCATGTTTGAGAGAATCTTAACGAAAGTGTAAGAGAAATAGAGGAAATCTTGGGTATTTAAAATGGAGAGAGGCTAAAAGGTAAGACCTTAGCCCTTGAATATATTGATAGGAAAAATATATAGGGGCAAGATCATTAAATAAGAAACTTCCCCTATAAGCTATTGTGCAAGGAGAAAAGACACATTAAAACTATATACATTTAATGACGTCTATTAAAGGTATTTATGAACTTACGACCACCTGACTTTCAAAGTCTAATGGAAACCGTCCACGTTTCAAATTGATGGTCAGCGGTCAAAAAACTTTATGAACAGTAAACGTTTGAGCCTTGGGGGACATTTGTTGGGGTCCAAACTCGCTCGTTACTTCTAAAATTAAAAAGGAAGACCTCCAAGTCAACTTCTCTAGGTTAACCCCTTTAAAAACAACACAGATAGATCAACTCGCCACCATGACTCCGTCATTCAGAAGACATAATCATTACACCCTGTTACACATGTCTCCAAGGTGATGTCATCACCTTCCATGTGACCATTCACGAAGTAACACATGGCGACAATGATGACGTCACCTCATACCCAACCAGTCATGAGCCTGCAATGATTACTCACTGTCTTGGCCTCATCATGACCTGTTTAGGTCGACCTCAACGCCCAATTAGAAGTCTCGAATTTGGAATGGTGACACACATTTTAGGGCAACATTGTTGATGATGTAATTCTGGACGATCAACTTGACGGGTTAGGAGCTTATAAATAAGCACAAATGGTCCCCAAAAGATCCAAACTCAATGTACTCACAAAAATTATCTACATAACACTGCAATAAAGGCAATTATCTTTTGTTTTGTTACGTTCCAGCAAATTACTTTGCCCTTAAGTTGATCTAAATTTGTCATGTCATTTTTAGTTATCAACACATATATTGAAATATGATTAAGCCACTGTTTGACAACCCATTTTTTTCTCATCTTATTTCTCATTCTTTATTTCAACCATACATTTTATTAATAAAATAATATTACACATAAATCCAAAAATTCTCCTTATTTTTTAACCACACAATCTTCCATCAATCACTATCCCAAAAATTATTTTTCAAACAAAATGGGTGTGAAACAGGGGCTAAGTGCCCAGTTTCTTACATTCTACCATTTCCTGCCCTTTTCCTAGATGGGTGGAGGTGAGGAATTTAGGAAGAAGATGAAGTGTGGGGATAGAGTGTAGTGGGGGTGGAAGCAAGGATTTTTCTTTTTTCTTGTAATTATTTTATAGAAAATAATATAGAATTACTAATTTACCCTTTTAAAATTGGGAAAGAAGATAAAGACCATGTTTGGGAGGGATTAGATTTTTCTACAGTAAATCAATTCTCATTTTCAATCACACATTTTTCAATAAAATAATATTTTTCATCACATCAATAATTTTTTCTTTTTTTTTAACCACACATTTCCCATCATATCACTATTCAAAATCAATTCTTCCCCCAAAAAACCCCTACCAAACACACACTTAGAGCATGTTTGTGAGGGCTTAAAATTCAATTAAAATTGAAAATATAGAGCCATGTTTGGGAGGAATTCTGAAAATTTTACAATAAATCGATTCTCATTTTCAACCACACATTCTTCAATAAAATAATATTTTTCATCACATCAATAATTTTTTCTTTTTTTTTAACCACACATTTCCCATCATATCGCTATTCAAAATCAATTTCTCCCTCAAAAATCTCTCCCAAACAAGCTCAAAATTTTAAATATTTTGGATTGTGGATGTCACAAATAAAATGTTTGAATATAATTTGCCAAAAAATGAGAAGTTCGGGATCACATCTACAAATATTCATTTTTAATTTCGGTTACATTTATTTTCTTTAATGCCTAAACTAATAGAATTGGACGACCTACATTTAAAAGGTCATATATATAATGGAATTTTTCGTTAATCTAGAAAGATAGGAAGTATTCCATATTAGAGACAAAATCCCTAAAATAATAAGAAGTTGAAAGAATTATATAGCAAAAATTTGAAGAAAATGTATAGATAATTAGTGTACGTTTGACTGCAAGTATAGATTTTGCATAAAAATTATAAATTAAATGTATTTGAATGGTTTAATTTTCTACATATAAAATATTATACTTGTCCATCTTTTATTGGTAGGTTGATAATTGAGAGGGTTAGATGAGAGAGACTTGCTTAGAAAATAAAACTTTACACCTCACTGAAAAAAAATATTTTCCTTATTTTTAAGGAAATGTGATCACCAATTTTTGAAAAATATTTTTCCAGAAAAAATCTCAAAAGTAGAAATTTTAATTATATAAAAAAATTAATAATAATAAAGTCAATCAAACAAATCGATTTTTCATTTCCATCCACGTGTCCTTCAAGAAAAAAAAAATTCTTATAAATAGGCGACGAGGTTATTTAACCCTCTCCTTACTAGTTTTCTCTTTAGCCCCTGTTTGTCTACTATTATTCCAAAAAATTATTTACTACAGTAAGTGCCTGTTTGATGGGTCACTTTTTCCTAGGAAAATGGAAATTAAATTCCAACTTTCACACATTTTGGTGTTTGATTGCCGAAATTTTCCCTCCCAATTATTTTCCCACTTCCCACCCCAAGCGCCTGAATTCCACAAATTGATTGAAAGCATTTTCCCACCATTTTGGTGGCAAAATGCAATTCCAATTAACCAATGGGGTATTGTATGGACTTTCGACAAATAGAACATGTTTCACTAAGGCCGTGTTTGATAGGCCATATTTTTCGGGGAAGTAGGAAAATATTTTTCACTTTCCACTTTTTTGGCTGTTTAATGGGCAAAATTTTCCACGGAAAATATTTTCCGGATTTTCCCCACACGTGTGCAATTTCCGGATTTTTTATGAAAATGTTTTCCCGGCTGGTTGGAAAATTTTTTTTTTTGGCAATGAAAACAAATATCATAACTAATAGTAAAAAAAAATTCAATTTAATGAACAATTTCATGTAAAACAAAATCAAACGAAGATTATATTTTGATAAAAAAATGATTTTTGAGGAATTTTTTTTTTGACTTTTTGGTAATGGAAACAAATTTTATAACCAATTGTGGAAAAGAAATTATACTTTAATGGACAATTTCTATGTAAACAAAATCAAACGAACACAAAATTTAAAAATTTTTCGGGTGAAAAATTATACAAATCAATCACACTTAATTAACAATTCCCTAAAAAATAATTTCTAATCAATTACTTTCCCTGAAATTCATTTTCTTTCCACCAATTTTCCACAATTGCAATCAAGCGGCCCTAAGATTTTCTATCACACATTCACCCAATAAAATATTTTACAAACCAACCAATAAAGTTATTTTAAATTTTAACCACACATTCTACAAAAAATATTATTTATTACTCTATTTTTCTTCCAATAAAGGGTGACAAATGGATCATTCTTGTGGTATATCAAGAATGATCCGTGACAAATACACCCTTAATTTTCTGCTTTTTTTTTCAAGCCCACGCCCCCCCGCCCCGGCGGTTCGAGACTCGTTTCGTTCTCTCTCTACAATTACCAATCAATTTTTGAACCCTAGAGAACATTTATCCCCGAGTAAATTACGATCATTTGAAAATGGAGAACCAGAGGCTGAAGCAACAGCAGGCGTTGATGCAGCAGGCTCTCCTCCAACAGCAGTCGCTTTATCATCCTGGCCTTTTAGCTGCTTCTCCTCAGGTTCACTTTTTCATTTTTTTTTTTTTGAAAATTCAGTTATTCTTTTGTTAACTGTGATTGCTGTGGTTTTCCACGTATTGCAAACTTGCAACAGTGATTTTAGAAAATAGAATCGTTTGAATTGATCGATTCTTGTCTTCATGTGACTATCACTTATTTTAGGCCTGTTTGATAGGGTTTATTTTCCATGGAAGTACACCACTTTGGTGGGAAAATGGCTTTCTAGGCTTTTTTTTTTTTTTGATAATTGAAACAAATTCTATTCCTTTGCTAGACAATTTTCATGGAAAACAAAGTCAAACGAAGAACAGAAGATCCGAAATTTCAACATTTTTCTGATGAAAAATTATATCAATCAAACACAGCTAATTTACAATTCTTAGTAAAACAAGTTCTATACAATTCGATTCCCTGAAATTCATTTTCTTTTTATCCAAATTCCATTCTTGCAATCAAACGGATCCTTGTTTTTTACGCTGTTTGACGTTGCGAATTTTCTTCGTTGTGATTGCTAAATGTCATTGAAATTTGAGATTGATGTTTGTTCGCTCTCTATGGGTTGCTTTCTGTGGGCATCCTATTGTTTTTAAAATCTTCGGCTTTGATTGCTGACATCGTTTGTCTAACTGTCGGGCACATAAATTTTGGGAACCATTGTTTGAATTTATTGCCCGAGCTGTAATTTTTTGATGTTATGTAGTTCAACTCTCATGTTGGTTCTTTTTTCTTCTGAGTAGTTTTTGACGCCACTGTCTGTCCTGGACTCCAAAACGCCCCATTTCTTTGTAATCTAATGATATGTATTTGTCCTCGACCCAATAAGCTTAATATGTTTTTGGGGGCTTGAATATCTTTTAAGGCTGAATAAATCAAAGGAAGAGGTGGAGGAGAGAGAAGGTAAGGGGTTGGATTTGGTGAAGTTAAATATTATCTCAGAGCACTGTAGGACCCATTATGTTAGAAACACTTTGTTTGCAAATGCAGAAGTTTAAAACAAGAAATGGGTCTGGGCTCAGAAGAAAAAGAAGTAATATGTGCCTAGCGCTCATTGTTTAATTGCCGATGAGGACATCTCTGTTTAAAAAGATATTGGATAAGTTATTTAAACAAAAATGCTACTTGTACATCACAAATTGTACATAAGGGGCTACAACCCTCTCACATGGGGTGTGGGACCCATTGCATAAATTATTTTTTAATCTAAGCTGGTCCTACCCTCATGTGAGGGGGGTGTACACCCCGATGTACAAGTAGCAAGACCGTTATTTAAATTGGTTTGAATTATTGAACAAATTCAGAGCTATATGTTTGACCTTTGATCACGTATATAGTTTCATTTTTTTTTCATTACTTCTTTCTTTTTTGAATTTTTCATTTTGCAGATTGAGCCAATCCCAAGTGGAAATTTGCCTCCTGGGTTTGATCCAAGCACATGCCGCAGTGTGTAAGTTCGTTCAGACATTTTATTTCCTTCTCTTCTTTGCTGCATGCTTGCTTTAGTTGTGCAATATATGCTACCTGTTCCTAAATGTTTCCTATATGTAATGTTGTTGTATGGATTGATGCATCCTTAGATACTTTCTTGTCTTGTTTTACTCATTTACTTCACAGAGGTAAACTTTTATTTAAATATACAGTGTGTCTGTGATTATGTTATGGAACTAATTTTATTCTCATTGTTCACTGGTTTGAATTATGTGATGTTTTCTTATCAGTTATCATTTCATTTTATAATATATGAAGGGGTTCTTATGGATTCATCTATTTTTCTTTGTTTTCTTTTTCTTTTTGAACTTCTAGGTTTTTTATTTCTGAGAAAATGCAGGTATGTCGGAAACATTCACACCCAGGTGACTGAACCACTTCTTCAAGAAGTTTTCGCAAGTACTGGTCCTGTTGAAAGCTGCAAGCTTGTTAGAAAAGAAAAAGTACAGTCTCTGTGCTATTTTGTGATTTATTATTATAGTTTTGAGGTTTCAAATTCTTGATCACATCGTTTTGATGTATTTCTTGTTGCACTGTGCAGTCGTCTTATGGATTTGTTCATTACTTTGATCGTAGATCGGCTTCACTTGCAATAATCACCCTCAATGGAAGGCATCTGTAAGTTTCAAGCATTGAAATTTCAACTGAAATCTTGCATGGTTTAAACCTTTATGTTTATGCCTTATTACGTGATTTCCAGGTTTGGGCAACCTATCAAAGTTAACTGGGCATATACCAGTGGTCAGAGGGAGGACACAACAAGTAAAACCATAGATTCATTTTTTCATACTTGTGTTTTCTAGGTGCTTTTGCACCTGATTTGGAGTTGTATGGATTTTAACTGTGATGATATTTTATGCATTTTATCTAGGCCATTTCAACATTTTTGTCGGTGATCTGAGCCCAGTGGTTACTGATGCCATGTTGTATGCATGCTTTTCTGTCTACTCTAGCTGTTCGTAAGTCTGACTGACTCTTCCTCTTCTGTATAAGTTTTTGCCCACTCTTTATTTAAATTCATTGCTGTTGTAGGGTGCCTCTCTTTGTGTAGTCTTGTGTTGTTTAATAGGGAGAGGTGGTAGCAGCCGTTGGTGGTTGAGTTTGTACAAGTATGAGTTCAAAAAAGAGCCAAAAAGGAAAATTGGTTAAGAAGTTTGCCACTGTGTGGAGACCATTTTATTTGGTTAAATAACCCTATGTTTGGCTGATGTTATAAACTGTTTATAAATATTCATGCCACTTTTTACCAATATATTTCTAAGGTCCATAAGTATTATCCACTTATCCACCACTCATTTCTATCTATTTATAATTTAAACAATTTATAAACACTTCGCAAACATGCTCTAAATAGTTATTGCTATACCTGTGTAGTAGTTCTTTTCAAGAGATGCTGATTTTTTTTATTGGTCTTAGTGATGCAAGGGTTATGTGGGACCAAAATACTGGACGTTCCAGGGGGTATGGATTTGTCTCTTTCCGAAATCAGCAGGTTCATTTTAAGGCATTGTATTTATTATTATTTTTTGACAATAATGTCCTTCTACGCTTATTTAATGCTTAATTTCTGTGTTCAGGATGCCCAAAGTGCAATCAATGATCTAACTGGTGATAACTATGTTGAGCAATCTCTCTCCATCAATTCTTGTTTCACTGTTTTCTTATGAATTTTTTTTTTTCGATTTCTTGGCATGAAGTTACATTCTGTTTCTTCTATTAATTAAATGAACATAAAGAATTGGTAATTTACTTGCTTCTGTTTTCATGACAACCTCTTAGGAAAATGGCTTGGCAATAGACAGATACGTTGCAATTGGGCCATGAAAGGTGCTGGTGCCAGTGATGACAAGCAGGATTCAGATGTTAAAAGCTTTGTGGAACTAACAAATGGCTCCTCAGGTGAATAAATTTGAAGGAGAGTTGGCAATTATAATAATGAAAAACAGTTAGAAAGTTATCCATTGCAAAATTTTGACTGGTTGTCGTTGCTTGAAACTAAAAAATTCTAGGCTTGCAATATAATATTACCAGTTTTTAAGAGTCTGTACTGCCATGGGAATTTGGGGAGAATTCACTAATTCCCAAGTAAAATATGTTCATTTGTTGATATCACATGGTAAATGATAATTCAATAGATTGAGATTGAATTAGAAATCTACATTTTGTATCCCAAGTTGATCCTGATGCTCTTAAAAGCAAGTTCCTTTAAGTTCTTACCAGTTGATTCCTGAATAGAAATTCATGGGATAATGTAACGTTGAGAACTCTTTATATGCTACACATATGGACCCTGATGGAAAGCTAGATTTTAGTTTCTGAATTCCCATAAGCCATTTCCAGCTGATTCTATCTAGGTGCAATTTTGTGATTCATTTGTATTAGTTGACACCAATGAGAGTTCTTTTCATTTTGGCTTTTTTTTTTCCGTTCCTTTTTTCCTTTTTCACCTTTTTTGCTTTTGCAGAAGATGTGAAAGAGGCTGCAAATAGTGATGCTCCTGAGAATAATGCTCTATACACTACTGTGTATGTTGGCAATCTTGCTCCCGAGGCAAGAAACACTTTCCCTTTGACTTGTCCCACCACCCCAAAAAAGACCTTAAAGCGGGTCGTTTCAGAGAGTGAACATTTGGTTTGTGTATTTTTAAGGGTTTTTGTCATGTAGTACATGGAAAGTCAAGCCGGAGGAGTTACTTATAGAGGTTCCTTTAGTTGCAATTTGACATTCGTGTTTTCATCGCATTTTTGTTTCTCAAATCCAATAAATAAAGAAAGAGACAAAATTAAATTTCCTTAAATATTTGATTAGTATGATATTAGCATGCACATTCAATTTACACAGACTTCCCCGTTGACTCTATCTACTTGGTATTCTGTTTCTTGAAGCTTCTGCTGAACATGAGGATCTATTTAAGTATCTAAAACCCTTGAACTGCAAATTTAATGATACTTTCTGATCATGCCTTCAATTTGTTAGGTAACCCAGGTTGACCTCCATCGCCACTTCCATGTGCTTGGTGCTGGAGCAATTGAGGAAGTTCGTATTCAGCGCGATAAGGGCTTTGGTTTTGTAAGATACAGTACCCATGCCGAGGCAGCTACGGCCATTTCAATGGGAAATACACAGTCATTTCTTTGTGGCAGACAAATTAAGGTTCGTCTTCTTGTCTGTATGCAAGAGAGCTATATCCAGATGGAAAAGTTTTTTCTGCTGTGCATTCTAATTTGGATTTGAATGTGCCTTGTTCATTTCTTGAGTTTGTATCAGATCTGTGCATCCATGGCGTCGCCTTTTCTTGCTTTACCAATAGCAAAACACCTTATGTGAATGATACGCTGACAATATTGCTCATTTATGCTATAAGCCATGTTGATTTATGCTATAAGCCATGTTGACATTTGTTTATAAAGAAAGATTATTCTATGTTAAGAAGTTTGGAGGAGAATTTTCAAATTAAACATCCACTGATAATGTGACTAATTCATAATTCTATATACTTCATAGTGATCTTACTTTGAAAGGATATTTAATATTAAATGCCTGTGGCCTCCATCTTTCTCTGTGTAGTACTGACTTTGGTCTAGACTGGCTTACACTACTTTTTAAATGGTTAAGTTTTGATGGTTAGTAGCATGCCACAGATTTTAGGAATTTACTAGACCACAACATTTGGTATTGGCTTTCAGTCATGTTACTAAGAGGATGCTCAATTCTTTTACCCTTCCTGACAGCAAATTGGTATGGGTAAGCTCTGTATTTTAGAATTGTAGCAAGGCAGAGTTTGGTAATGAGTTTGCACATATTGGTTTTCAGTTTGTATTATTGAGAGCCAGAGGTAATGCAGTGTATTTCTACTCTGTGTGCAAATTGCCCTATCTGATCCACCACCCATAACGAATTAAAAAGATCCAGACCAGCTGCTGCTAAGTTCTTTATTTAGAATAAAAAATAAGTAAACAATGTCTTGGGGAGGGAAATTCAGCTGAAAGTTCTAGGAGTTCCACTGTTAGTTCCTGATCTCCGAACAATTTTTCTTTTCTCCTGCTCTGTAGAAAATATAAGTCTGTAATTGTTTCAGTCTTTAGTCTTGATGATAATTTTACTTGGGACTATATAGTTTTTGTTTCTATTTTTGACTCGAACTTGTTAATGTTTATTAAATGGCTTCAGTGCTCGTGGGGTAACAAACCAACTCCACCCGGAATGAGCTCAAACCCAATGCCACTTCCTGCCCCCTCATACTTGCCAAGCTTTTCTGCTACTGAACTGTTGGCTTATGAGCGGCAACTTGAAATGAGCAGAATGGGCGCCCTCATGCATGCCCAGGGGCAAGGTCCTCTGAAGCAAACATCTATGGGAATGGGTGCCAGAGCAAGCCAGGCCATTTATGATGGTGGTTTTCAGAACATTGCTGCTGGACATCAGCTCATGTACTACCAGTGATGTAAGATTGATTCTATTGATATTTTTGATTGATATGAAGTTCACGAGATACTGTTTAAGGTTTATTATTACTTTCTGCAAGATTCTGTAGTATTTATCTTTTGGGATAAATTCCAACTTAATATACTAAATACACGGATATATATGATCGTATTTTGATTATATTTAGGAATGAGAGGCTTTGTCATTGGTTCGAATGTATTGTTTGTAGAAACCAAAATAGACTTGGTTATTCAGCTTGTAGTTTCTCTGTATTCTATTAGCATGTGTAAGTTCTCCCTGGGGGCTTTCAGGGAGTTCAATTGCTTGAGGTTTTATATGGTAACCCTATTATATTGACTATTGGGGGTTAATTACCCCAATAGTCACTGAATTTTACCAAAAGTTTCCACCAGGTCACTGAACTTTAAAAGCTACGTGGTTAGTCACTGAACTTTGGAAACTGCAATCTCATCCATCACAGAACTTTAAAAATCACCCCATTAGTCAATGTACCTTGCAAAAGATTTCTACGAAGTCACTGAATTTTACAAAAAGTTTCCCAGATGGTCATCGATTCAGTAACCATCTGGTAAACTTTTAACAAAGTTCAGTGATGAATGAGGTGATTTTTAAAGTTCAGTGATGGATGTGATTGCAGTTTCGAAAGTTCAGTGATTAACCACGTAGTTTTTATTTTTTAAAGTTCAGTGACCTGGTGGAAACTTTCGGTAACGTTCAGTGACTATTGGGGTAATTAACCCGACTATTGGCAAAAAACTGTTAAATGGTGAGGGCATTTGCTGGGTTTAATAGGGCTGTATTTTTGCACCCAAAAATATATTGAAAGTGATAATCTATCAGGTCAAAAATATTCGAAAATGTGGCCTTGCTAATAACCCGACTCGACATTCAACTTTATGAATGGGATACAGCATTTTAGAAGTTTTGACTATTATCCTCTTGAAGCTTTGCTGAATGAAACATAAAAGAAATAAAGAAGTGGGGGTAAAACAGTAAAAGAAATTTACTCACAAAAATTGACTACGATCTCTTGTATCTTTTGAACAAAATAAACATGCTTAAAAAGAAAATAAATTAGGCTCTATTTGACATTAAAAGTTGGACAATAAATCTCAAATCATAATCAATAGTCGACGATTGCACTGAAAACTCTAACGTTCCCTCCAACTTCGTGATAAAACAAGCAAGATTCATTTCTCCTTTGATTATTTCCAAACCGCGGGAATTTCGTTACTTTTGGGGAAGAACAACCCCCTCCCACATACAAACCATTTCATCACCATCCTTTTTTTGCAATAATGTTGAACGACACATTTTCTTATAAATGAACCACATTAAAATTCTATTATGGGTCTCTAATCTTTATTCATCGTGACTTTTAAGTCCTTAATCATTTTGTCATTATATTGTTACCCTTTATTTTCTATTTCTCAGCACATTTGGTCTCTAATAATGATTTTCGTCCAATGATTTTGTTAGCGTACTTTAAAATTATGAACAAATATATCTTAATTTTGTATTTATTTATTTGTTATTATTTAAAAATATAAGAGATAAGTAAGTCTCCCTATAATGCCCCAAAATTTCATATATTTTGAGATGTTACCAAAAAATTAATTTCATTTACTTTTATTTACTTAAATGCAGAACGTTAAAATTCTTTAATAAACAAAATATTGAAATATCCACAAGTTTAAATTTAAATCATAAAATCGTATATTTAAAAAAAAAATTAAACATTATCAACTATAAATTTAATATTAATGTTATTGAACAAAACAAACTATTAAATTTAAAGATAGTAAAACTTAATATTTTTGTATGTCGAAATCTCTTGTCAGTTCGTTACACCATCCAGCCATAGCTCCAACCGACCCGATATAGCCTTAAAAAAATTTGTAGGAGTAGGTAATTTAAAAACACACAGTAAGATACGTATAATTTTCATACGCAATTATATAACAATAACATAGACAATTCATACATTCCAGAAAGATTTCACATTTCATATAAAGAACCCAAAAGAGTTCACATTCCGTTAGGTCGAACCCGAAAATCCACTGGCAATTTATGCATAAATTACTGAACATAAAAGTATAATGAAACAAACAACTTGCACAAAAAGTATCTTACCATGATTGATCAAATGAGTTTTTAATAATAAAAATGTACTTAGAATTTACAACTGTTTTATATGAAAACTGTTGTGTAAAATTCTGTGGTAGTGAATTATGAGACATGGCACACTATTTATAGTAAAAATTTAGCCCAAAATTGAAGTTAATACATATATTACTTCAATCCCTCAACTTCAAAATAATAAAAATATAATATATAGAGCAAATAAAATTTTATTCTAAAATTTTCGGGGTGTTACACTTCCTACATACCTTTAATGGAATTTTTGGAGGAAAAAGGTCCTTGGTGACAAGATATGTTAATTAATGGAAGATTATGGATAAGAATACGAAAAGAATTAGAGACATAAGTATAACAATAAAGATTATGGACATAATGTCAATGTAGTTAACTGGTCGTGAATTGGTGGATAGACAAAATTATACACTGATCCAACTGATGAATGTTTACACTTGAAAGCTCCTACGGCTACATATTGTCCCAGAGGTTTCGAAAAGTTATAATCCTGTCAAAATTTAAGGTTAGGAACTTCATCACACGTTTTTGAATCTTAGGGACCTAAGCTCCAATTTTCATAGATAAAAACATATTTCCATTAATCGGGGTTAAAAATTCAAATCGCCATTGACCTTTGTACAATGTTTTTCAATGACCATTAAACTTTAAGGGTGTACTTGATTGCAAATATGAAACTTGCATGGAAAAAAATAAATTTTAGATAATTGAATTGTCTAGAATTTATTTACATGTAAATTATTTATTAAGCGTGTTTGATTGATTTAATTTTCAACTTAGAAAATATTATACTTGTACATATTTTATTGGTGTGTAGATGAGAAAATGAAGGTAGATGAGAGAGTAAATTGCCTGAAAAATAAAACTTACCCATCTCTAAAGAAAATATTTTCCTTGTTTTTTAAGAAAATAAGGTCACATGATTAATTTTTGAAAAATAATTTTATGGAAAAAATGGCAATCAAACATTCAAAAAGTAGGAATTTGGGTGGAAAATGACATTTTTCATAGAAAATAAAAGCCAATCAAACACACATCCTAAAAGTTTTTCGAGTGATTATTAAATTGTTATCCAATTAGACATTAAACCTTAAAAGATTTTTGAGTGGTTATTGAACTTATCAAATTATTATCTCATTGATCATTTAACTTAAAATGTTTTTAAGATGGTTACCTAACTCATCAAGTTCCTCTCATCCATCGTTCTATAACTCAATGTTAGAAAATTCGATGGACTCGTTGACGTGATAAAAGAAAAGGCTAGCATGGCAAATTATTGACGAAAGTTGATGAAAAATCGATTAAAAACTCGCTTCCATCTATTAAAAGCACTTATTTAAAAATACAATTGAATTTTAACATTTGTCCTTTTCCTTTGTTTATTTGTACTTTTATTTTATATTATTTTTATTGAATTTTTCTTTTAATCGCATTTTTTTATAATCACATTTTTGATTGATTTATCATCAACTAGCAAAATAATATACAACGTCAGTATTTTCATTTGCCATGACAATAAGTCCGCCAATTTTCTAATGGAGAGCTATTGAGTAGTAGATGAAATAATGATTTGATAAATTTAGCGACCATCTGAAAAAGTTTTAAAGGTTTCATTGTCAATGAGATAACAATTTGATAAGTTCGGTGATCATTTGAAAAATTTTTAAATGTATATTGACCAATGAAATAATGATTTGATAAGTTCGATAACCACTCGAATTTTTTTTAAAAGTTTAATTATCAATACAACATGTGCAAAATTCAAGGACCATTTTGATTTTTTACCTCCATTTAACCCTAAACATTTACAATCATGCAACATATACATCTTTTTTACATCATTTTTGACATTGTGTCACATGATGACACATGATTGGATGGTTTAAAAAAAAAAAAAATTAGCCCAACACTTTTTGAACTTCAACAAAGTGTACACAAATATGTAAACTAAATGATGTAAACTTAGTATTATTCAACATTGGAAAATTCTACATGTAAAGGGCTTTTATAGGTGTTGTGTTAGCATCACCTGTTTGATCGCTTTTTTATTTTTTTTGGGTTGTGTTTTGTGTGCCTTTTCCGATCAAAAACTACCAAATATGTATGTAAACATTCTTGTAGTAGAACCCTTCAGACATTTAGGGGCTTTCTCTTTGTATTTCAGTTTTGAGTTTTAAATTCATTTTGTGTTTTGTGTGTCTTTTTTGAAATTACTAAAAATGTGTTCTTTTTATCATTCTGAAAAACTGTTTCTCAAAACATAATAATGAAAAACGCGTTTACTTTGAAATTTTGAGAATATATTTTTTAATAATATTTTATTCAAGAAATCGAGTTATTCAATAAATTTTAATAGTTTAATATTAATATAGTATTAAATAACATATTAATTTTGAAGTTTGTGAATCTTGGAAATATTTTTTTCTAGATATAAAAAACATAATCTAAATTAAATTTGGCAAGTATTTTGTTTTTGTCCTTATACGTAACTTGTGACAAGAATTAACTAGTATCAAGTCACAGCCAAACCTAATCAAGTTGGAAAAAAATGGGACCTAATCTTATGTTGACATGGTAATAAATATTTTGAAATTAATCATATCGAGTTCATGTTTAGTTCTCACAATTCTTGCCAAATACTTTTGATCATCTAAACACGATGGCTATCATTAATTTGTCTGGTGCACGCATTTCGTATTTTGTTCTGCTTCCATTGTAAATATTAACCCATAATGAAATATATAAATACAAAACATATGTAGTAAATCGAGATTAGATAAAAGTATCACGAGGATAAACGAAAATTTATCCAATTTGAATATCATAAATCAGCAAAAAACTTTTTCCCATTACAGATCAATAAAACTTTTGAGGTAGGATTTGCAAGAAGATACATTGGAGGATTTATGGGCTTTGCCATGCGAAGTGTTCACAAGTGCTTGAAAAAAGTAAGGTCGTTCGATCATGGGCCACAACCCCAGGGTGTCTAACTCAATTCTGATTGCATCGTTCTTTAATAACTTAAACTTTTGGACAAGGTTGTTGAACAATATGAAACGAAAGTTTTAGAAATAATACAATGGGCAGAAGTATCATTGTCAAGGAGAAAGCCTCATCAATTGTCAATACACATCAAAAACACCAGAAAGCTATATTAAAAACGTAACAGAACACTTGTAATTAGAATCCTTCCAATCTCTGTGGAACTGGAATACTGATCACATGTAGTATTTGTACCACTTCTGCCATGGATGGCATGCTGGAAGGTATCTGAGAAGTGCAAATCAATGCCAATTTAAGAACAGGCAAAACCTCGTCTTTCGGGTAATTTCCCATGTTTGGATCCACACAATCTAGTGCATTTCCTTGTTCAAGTAAGCATTTTTCGTTTACCCTCAAAATCTGGCATGCTGCTGTAGAGGCACTTGAAGCACTTGCTGAATGGAGGAACCAGTAGTAGAAAGAGTATTTACGATAGAAGCACCTGATGCTGGGGAAACAACAGGAAAAGTTATCCTGGCAAGAGATCCAAGGTTTGCCAATTGAAGTATTCCAGGTATGCTACTCCAGTTGAAACTAATGACTCATCCGACTGATCCCACTTTTTCCTTTTTCTACAACTTTCCAAAACGTTAAAAAGAATCTGAATTATGATAAACTGAACATATTTTTTTCATCCAAAATATGCCCAACAGAGAAATGCAGCAAGTTAACTTAATCCATTTAGATCAAGTGAATGTCAATACTACAATCAATTTAGATGTTTTCCATTTTTTCTCTTAATGTTGCAACTCTGGCACATTATGTCCAAGAGGCGAGATACCAAAACCATAACCCCTAACAAAACAATCATGTCAAGTGGGAAATTAATGGGGAAGAAAAGATATCATATTAGACAAGAAGAAGAAAATGGGAGGAGACAACCAACGGAAGTAACTGAAATTTGAATTGGGAAGCGACCCACTAGCAGTATCTTCAGAATCATCATTACTTAGAACATATGTAGCTTTCCTGCTGTTAGGCCTCTGTGGTCTGGCTCTTAGAACCACCACTTGATTACTCTCTTCTATACCGACTGAAGTTGGAGACTCATCTTCCTCCAACCATTCTTTTGCAAATCACTTTCAAGATTAAAACAATACAACACAAAGATATGGAAATCACATGCTATTCCAACAACAGAGATTAAACTGACAACAAAGAACATATTTTTTTGAAAAATGCTATTCATCCCCAATGGGGATGCATCCCCAGCTATGTGGATGTAAATGATTGGTTAAATGATAGGTGAAATTAAATGACTTATTTAATTTCACCTATCATTTAATGTCACATTGACGCCACATAGATTGGAGATACATCCCCAATGGGGATGAATAACATTTCTCTATTTTTTTAGACTTATAATTGAATTTAAATCAGTATAAGACATACTTAAAATCAATTAATGGATTACCATGAGTGCCAATGCCACTAAGTGAGCTATCAACTTTTGATCTGGAAGAAATATAGCTACCAATATATCTCAACTTAATCCAACATCTAGTCTCCACCTCAGCATCACCATTCTTCTTTTTCCTTCCCCTTGATTTCCCCACCTCCCAATACCCCACTTCCAAGCTATCACCGCTTAGTCCCCACAGTGAACAAAATCAAATATCATCAAATTTCCAAAACAAAATAGGAAAATAATTACCAAAAAAATCTCAACTGCCATACCCTTCTATGTAAACAGAATCATCTAGAACACCTCAAATTCATTTCATAAAATTAGTCGATGGTAACAAAACAAACATTATTCAATCCGGATCAATTTTTGGAGTCAATTCTTTGAGTACGCCTATTTTTCACAATATCAGTCATAGAAGGAAGATTCTTTAGCTGCAAACCAATCAAGCCATTAATCACTATTCAGACAACAACATTATTCAACTCCTATTAATCAAATTAGAAAATCGAAAAGCGTTTTCCCCATACCTAGCACATCAAAATATCAAATAAATACAAATCATTCCAAACTTCAATCGATCAATTATTAATCGAAAAATGAGTAAATAAATTCTTTGAATACACACATATCTAAGAGAAGGGACAAAGAGAAAACGGAGAAGAAAGATAGCAGAAGGGTTCCCTTGATACTAAACAAAATTGAGAATAAGGATAAACCAATAAATCATTCGCAAGCTCACTCAATTCTGGATAAAACTGCTGGTGACCCACGGTGGTATTGAATGCGTTTGATTGAGAGGAGTGGAGTGGTGGTGGTCTGTGATCGAAACGGTGGCCGACGACGGTGGAAATATGGAGAAAATCGTGACGCGATTTTGGGTGGTGATTGGGACTGTTTTCGACAATCCCATGGCCAGGTGATGACAAAAAGGTTGAAGATGGAGGTGAAGGGGTTCGGATGGTAGTGGGTCTGGTGGTCTTAGTGGTTGATTGTCGAGGAAGAAGGCGACTGTTCTTTTGGCTCTTTAACGCACAGTTATGGGGAAAGAGGGGGTCGTTTTCCGTGTTTTGAAATTTTCCCGTGTTTTGGCTTGAAAACACTCAAAACGTCATTTCAAACCTTTTTTTTTTCCTTCAAAAATTCGTATTTGAAAACGGAACAAAGATGCGTTTTCACTATTTTGAAAAATAAAAAACACAAAATGGCAGAAAACCGGAAAGACACGGAGCCTTAGAATTCATCAGTCCGTTGTTTTGCGGATCTGCCTTCACTCACTGCACATCTCTAACCAAGTAGAACAGCAACGCTTCCCGCTCTTAAAACCCTAGGGTTTAAAGTCTACCATTCTTAAGCTCTTTCACTGATCATATTAATTTTTTTTCTGATTCTCAATTCATTATGGACGTGGATATGGATGCTTCTCCCAGCTATTTAGACCCAGAAGATCTAAGTAGTAGAGAGCGCTTTCGTCGATACGGGTACTTAATGTCACTTCAACCTGCCTTCTATTACTGTATTGCAAAAAAATAATAAAAAAAAAAAATCGTCGATTATATGAATAATTTTCACGTTTTTATTTTGAACTTTCTTGACTATCAAGATTGTGCCTGATGGATTTTAGTATCCATAAGAAAATTTCAAATTTTGCTGCCCTGAAAGGTGAGCCCTAAATTTTTTGAAAAGTTTTTAATTTTTAAACAGTGCCTCATGTTTTAATTCCAGTTAAAACATTTTTTTTTTCTTTTAGGACCAATATTTGGAAATTTGTTAGATATGTCATTTACTTAGGTTCGTTTGATTGCGAATGTGGAAAATTGGTGGAAAGAAAATGAATTTCAGGGAATTGAATTGGCTAGAAATTGTTTTACAGTGAATTGTAATTAATTACTGATATAATTTTCTACCTGGAAAATGCTGAAAGTTTGGTGTCCGTTTGATTTCATTTTTTATAGAAATTGTTCATTAAAGTTATAATTTTTTTTACCATTGAGTCTAGAACTTGTTTCAATTGTCCAAAAAAAAAAAAAAAAATTAAAAAAAATTACTATATCGAATACCATTTGTTTGGCTTCGTTTTGCATGAAAATTATCAATAAAAATGATAAATTTTTTTACCGTGTCTAGAATTTTTTCCAATTGCCCCAAAAAAATAAAGCAATTCCATTTTGCCAAGAAATGGATTCCCACCACTTTTGTAAGAAAGTCAATTCCTTAAAAACATGGAAAATGAATTGATGTGACACAAGTAAGGAAAGACAATTCCATGGCAAAGAAATGGAATTCATTTCCCATTTTCCTTGAAAAATTAGGCTTATCAAACACAACCTTAGATGTTAATGTTCTATATACGAAATTACATTCTCGTTCACTATTGCTGGAATTTGTGCTCTACTTGTCTTTCTGTGACACTTGGAGGATTTTGCTACTTTGACAGAAAAATTGTAACAGTGACATGATTCTAGTTGGCAACAAATGATTTGACGGGGATGTTGACTGTGTTTAAAACAGTCCAATTATGTGATGTCACGCCACATTATTATGTCAACCATTATGTATGCTACTGTAGCATGATTCATATTTGGATTCAGAATGTCATAGAAATACATGATTTTAATTAAATGAAATACCAAGAAAATGAGTACCATTTCATAATGGAATATATAGGTAGACTTTTATCTATTTATATGATAATGCAATTCATTTATGAAATATTATTTTCAAGCATGTTTGATGGGATTTTTGTTAAAGACGAGGATTAAAGCAAATCTAATAAGTGCAGGAAAAGGCAATCTAATTCAGGCCAATCGCCACACCAAGATAATTCAGTCTCGAGATTTAGTAATGCAGTGCTTCTACTCGAAAATATCAAACATGAGGTTGAGAGCCTCGACACAGATCTTGGAGGAACTCCTTTTGAATCTGCTTCAAAGAGGAGAGCGTCCCTTGACAATCATCCAGTATCAGAGGCAGATATTGGTGTTGATACAATGCTAAGATGGGGAAGTGAGTCTCTGAAGGTCGGCAAACAGGAAGATGGTGCTGGAACTGAGAGTAGAGACACAACTTTCCATTTATTTGCTTCTCTACTGGATTCTGCTCTTCAAGGTACTTGGCATGTATATGTTTTTGTATTTGAAAAATTTCACTCTTTTAATGATACGAATCACGTATACTATGTATCATATATCTGGAAAGTTTTATGAAGCTCATGAAAAATCTGCAATAGATTCCCTTCTGAATATTTCAAACTAGGTCCAAGGCAGTTACTGTAGATATTTAACAAACGTTTTCATGGCCGATTCTAGTAGGAACTATTGAAATTCTTTAGGATCAGAAGGAATATAACGTTCAGTTTAATATCAATTTCAAGAGTCTACGCCAAATAAACTAAGCATGTAACCATCTCTTAGATTGTGAATGCATAGTTTACTCATTTTCTGCTACAATCTTTTTCTTGGATGTTCTCTCTCTTTTCCGAAAGAAGCTAAGAGAGTGAGGCGTATAATTGTTTTAAGACATTTGATGGGATGTTCTCTATCTATTTTGCAAGAAGAAGAGATAACTTAATCCTTGCATTTTCCTTACTTAGTCTGTCTGTGTTTTGCAGGGTTGATGTCTATCCCTGATATGATATTACGACTTGAGCGTACTTGCCGTGATGCTTCAGAAGCAATTAGGTATATCATGTGCATAAATTTGTAAAAACTTATGCGTGTGTGGGTGTTTGTATACATTTTGGGGGAGGGGGGTTGTTTGTTTTTGTGTGTGTGTGTTGTTACTGTTGGTAGGGGAGTGAGTTGAATACATTCGGCTGCTGGGATGTATGTTTTCTGCATTTTATGGTTACTGCTTGGCCAAGTGATGTTAGATAGCATCTCGAATCATGTGAATGTCACTGGGCCTCAAAGAAACCAGTCAAGCGCATGCTTTGTGATGTGAAGAGAAATTCATCGGCTACAAGGTTATAGTTCTTTAAGAGAGGAATTCGGCTTCAAGTGATGACAGTTGTCCTTCGGAACTATTATTCCCTAATTTGACAGTGATTTCCAATTCCATTTGTTCCGAATTCTAGATAAATGCATCATGCTTTATTAGTGCCATTGTGAACACATCCCTGACATTCGTTATAAGAAACATATAGAGGAAGGGATGGAGTTGAGAGCTCCCAAGCTTTACTAGCCATATCTCGTCTTTCATTTATGATTAATAATGGCTTCAATTGTATCCTAATTTTCTTGCATTTTCCATGTATGGTACTGGATGAATTTCTCTGCCTTATTCCTTGTATGCGCCATTTCTGAGCTCTTTTAGCAGATATCTGATAGTTTGAGGCACGATTTTGGTGAAATTAAAACATTAGAACCATAAGCCACCTAGCAGTGTTGGAAGTCTGTTTTTTTTTTGTTCTTTCCAGAAAACTTTCTGCACTTCAATTTTGTTTTGTAATTAGTGCCTGTGTGTCCACTGAAATGTTTGTTTACATTGTCCTTCTGCCATTTATTTACTGCTTTTAGTAAATGGAGAAACACCTGTAAGGCATCCTCTGAATCACAAGACAGACAAATTGGTAATCATACCTTGACCAATGTTATACTGATCCACTGTTTTTGCTGTAGATTTGGCTCCACTGAAAGGTACAGAGTTGTTGAGGATAAACTGATGAGACAAAAAGCCCGGCTCTTGCTTGATGAAGCTGCTTCGTGGTCTCTTCTGTGGTACCTATATGGGAAAGGAAATATATCTAACCATAAGGATGTTATGTATTTTGTAATACTCGCTTACTAATGTTGCATGTATCTTTCGTAACTACTTTTTTGAGAATTTTTTTCTTAAGCTTTTTGCTTTCTGATTAAACATGGAAGTCCTAACTGAAAATTGATATTTTTACATCAAAGTGATTTTTAGATGATTTGGAATTGAATTGCAAATATTATCATCTCGAAAGAATTCACTAACAAGTTTCTTTAGTGTCTGTAGTTCCTTTTATGCACTAAAATTAGCCAGCATTTAATGGCTAATTTCATTCTATCAGATCCTGTTGACCATCTGTTTACGCTTCTTAACTAATTTCAGTTCTTGTAGTTTGCTGTGATCCATCATATTCTCTCGAATGTTAATATTAAAGTTTAGAAAAATTAGAAGAAATATTATATATTTCAAAAAATTCTTTATCCTTGAGATTGGAGTTCTATATATTCTACTTCTAGTGCTGGAGTTATCTCACCATCAATAACTGTAGTGTAAACTTGAGAGTTCTTCTGCTTGATGTTATACATTGGGAGTATCTTAGTGTTTCGTATTGCTTCCAATTTATTGTTCAAGGCTAAAGTATTTTCTTAATTTCTTGCAGGAAACGAAGAACTTCAGGACGATCTACTCCTGGTGATATATCGTCCATTGATTAAGTCACCCGTTAATATTTATCCATGCCAAATATATTGCTGTTAGAAATCTGTGTTTAATATACATTATTCAAAAAATTGAGTCCCCCCTGCTGCCCAGGGCGTCACAGTTGTCACTTTTTTTCCTTTGTTCTTTGCATTATTCAAATTTTGAGTTGCATCTAATGCTTTATGACAGTTTCCAACAACTTCACATTTGGAAGCCTGTCAATTTGTTGCTTCAAATCATACAGCACAATTGTGCCTTCGGATTGTTCAATGGCTTGAAGGATTAGCCTCCAAATCCCTTGACTTGGATAATAAGGTAATAGGCTTTTTGATCATGTCAAGAAGCTTTGATTAGACTTTGTTTACACAAAAACGTTTAGTGTTCACTAGTCACTCAATAGACTGGAAAGGAAGTGAGCTACTAGATACTTATGGGGGAAAGGATTAGAAAAGTGTTTGAATAAATATAAACTAAACAAAGGAGTAATTAGGTGCTAGTTTTTTGGCATTTATAAATAACCAAGTAGGATGGAAGGAGCATTCTGGTGTTCAGACCAAGGAAAATGGATTTTCTGGTGAACCTTGTAGAAATGCTAAACAATATTGCTGACTGGCGAGATTCATCAAAACTTGAAAGTGAGTTGACCAAAAATTTCTGATTAGGCTATAATGGTTAAAGGAATCTCATTTAGGGTTTCCTCTCTTTAATAAGGCACCATATAGTGATGATTATAATACAGATGTTTGGGGATACTGTAATTAACGTTTGATGGTATCTCTTGTTTACTTATTCTGCATGTTGCATTGTGTATTACCCTATTTTCGTTATATTTCAGCTTGTAGTTTAGTTGCTCCAAGTAGATGGAATTGCATCTAGTGCTCTAGTTAGCTCATTTTTTTCTTCTTCAAAATTTATATGTATCACCAGAATGGGTTTTGTCTAAAGGAAGAATCCTCAGCTTTAGTATGTGGCTGGTTACTATGGAATATTTGATTTTATTTGTTTTCTGGGTCATCCCTGAAGTTGTAACTCATAACAGTGGGGTATATTGACTCCTTTTTTCATGAGTGAGCCTTGTTTGGGGCTTCACAAGATCTTTTGCTAAATTGGTCTGAATGTTTGCTATGCATTCTTTTTTTCAGGTCCGTGGCTCTCATGTGGGCACTTATCTCCCTAGCTCTGGAGTTTGGCGTCATACTCAACGATACCTTAAGAAGGGTGCCTCCATTCCAAGGACAGTTCATCACTTGGATTTTGATGCCCCAACGCGCGAACACGCTCAACAACTACCTGATGACAAAGTACTCAGAAATATATTTGCACGTGCATGATTGCCTAGCTGATTGCTATGACATATATCTTAATACACTGTAACACCACCACTTTTGGACTTCTGCCTCCCTTTACTTGTTTAGCCCCTGTTTGGTTCCACTAAAAAAGAGGATTAAAATCCAATTCAAAGACTAACACTTAATTTTAACTATACATTACATGGGACTCAACTTTTTAACCACACATTCAATCAACTTTTATCAAAATCTACTAAAAATCTGTTTTTTTTATCTAAACCGAAAAAGGCCTTAATCTTAACACCATTCAATTTTCAATTACGTGCATGCACTTTTACAAGAGCACAGACTAGCTTGTTTGGACTTTGGAGTATTACAAGAAATAAAATGGTGCATTACTAAATTGTATGATTCAATAAACATAGTACCCTCGCTTTAGCAACAGATTATTTGATTGGCTGATATATCCTTTGAATTTTCTACTTATTCCTTTCTGTATTTTATCCCTTTGGGAGTGTCTGCTCCATGGCCTTGGGTTTTCTTCATTAACTGAATTCAAAATAAGTATTTTCCATAGATTGAGAGCACATAAATTATTTTTTCCCAGTATCTCAATTTGGCATGCTGTGAACTGGTTGTATGAGGAGATGTCAGCTCAATTAGAGTTCCACAGTTGCTGATTTCTCAGTCTTAATCAGATTTCTTATCTGGAGTGAGCGTTGAACCTTGTTTCTGGAGGGGGATAGTGATTTCTTTTTCATTTTTATTTTTTCGTTGTGTTTGCTGGGGTGGATAGGTGTGAGTGCACTTGTGGTGCGTCTATCAGCCGTTTTAGCCTATTCGGGATGGGTCATCCGGGATGCAATTTTATTTTTTCACCTCTTGCATATCTGTACAGATGCATCACACAGGATTTTGCTGATAGGTAACCCAGTCCATTTGTGGGTTATGATTTGTCTCAATTCAATTCTTCATCTTGGGTTGTCTTTTTCTTTCTAGCATGGTTCTGCATTTTTCTCTGTTCCTACTCTTTTCTTGCTTGTGGTTGGACATCTTTCCCGACTTTGCTTTCTTATAACTCTCCGACATAACCTGCGGCAATCATTTCTTATTTCCCAATATAAAGAAATGAATGCTGATGTTAATTATGGTGTATGATGTTACTTTGCAAATTCATATATACTTATGGTGTATGATGTTACTTTGCAAATTCATATATACTTATATAACATTTGTTACTTGTACATATTCATATTAATATATCAGAACTATCTTTTATGTGTGACAGAAACAAGATGAATCTCTTCTAGAAGATGTCTGGATTCTGTTGAGGGCTGGAAGACTGGAAGAGGCATGCAGTCTTTGCCGGTCTGCTGGACAGGTGAGGGGATCAGTCGAGATGTGTAAGACTGTTTAGTTTTCATTCTTTCATGCTTCAGGGAATATTACAAAAAATGGGATTTCCTTGTGTTCTGAAATTAGCTTTTGCTTGTGCAGCCATGGAGGGCTGCAACTCTATGTCCCTTTGGGGGATCCAATCTGTTCCCATCTATTGAAGCCCTTGAGAAAAATGGCAAGAACAGAATGCTGCAGGCGATTGAACTGGAAAGTGGAATTGGTCACCAGTGGCATCTTTGGAAATGGGCTTCCTATTGTGCATCAGAAGTAAGTACGGAGAAACTGAGGAAGTCAAATAGGTTTCTTGACTTATAGCTTGTGCATCAGAATTAGGGAAAGAGAAAACAATGAATGAGCTCTTTTTTATTATTTTAATATTTCTGTAATTCACGCTTCCCTGCTTCCCTTTTTCCTTATGTCAATATAGTTTGCATGTTTGCAATTCTTTAGGAAACCTGCCATTCTTTCCTGTGTTCAAGCTTTAAATACCGCACTTGCTTTATAAATTGTAATCTTCCTGGGTTTTTATGAAGTGATGTATGCTGGGAATCTTATATTTATTACTATGTGTGAATTACTCTTGTTTCTCATTTTATTGAAGAAAATTGCTGAGCAAGATGGTGGGAAATATGAAGCAGCAGTATATGCTGCTCAGTGCAGTAACTTAAAACGCATGCTTCCAGTTTGTACTGACTGGGAGGTATGTCCTTTTTTTCCATCATTTGAGTTCTCAGGTATTATGTATTTAGCTTAGTTATCATCAGGAAAATAGTTACTTCCATTTTCATTTCATGATACTGTGATACTGCAATGAAGTTACTAAAATGTATATGGTTTTGTCAAACTTGTTGGAGCCCATTTAATGTTTTATTTTCAGTGCTTAGCGTAATCTGGGTCAATGTTCCTGGTCTAGAAGTTCTTATTTCTTGTAGATAATTACTCCATAGACAGTCTCTTCTACGCTTATTGCGACTTGTTCTTGATGAATCAAAAGTCTTATATCTAGGCAGGGAAATGTAGGATTATTTTATATGATGGGTTCTCCATCCATAGATACATTATTCTGATTTTGCACTGTTGAATGTCCTGTTAGATGTTATTTCCTCCATGGAGGAAATGTCTGCTTATGTCAATCAAATGCACTATTTCTGGCAGAATTTTTTTCTCCTAGGAAATACCAAAATCAAGCTTGTTTGTTCTGAAAAAGTAACTTACCTCTAGAAATTCCAGCATTGATATGCCCTGTGCTAGAACAATTTACTGTGGCCACTCTGTGGAATCTGTTAACCTTATAAGGAACCTGTCCGTGGAGTTAAGTAAAACCCAATCGAGTTTTGAACTTCGTGATCACGCAATAGTTACTTGAGAATGATTTTTCCGGAGATTAATTCCATGGTCTGGAGGTTTCGGTAGCTGATTGCAACTTCTTTATCTCACTGAGGTCCATGTACATTTACATTCCAACTAGATCTCATTTAGAATCTATATTGATGTCCTCCCCATTCCCCTCACTCTCTCTCTTTCTCATGCCTGTTATGCTACGTCTTTATTTCAGGGAGGGGTGGGCGGATTTTTTAGGTGAATCTCTTCTATCTCTGTGGTTCTATAATGGTGACACACAGTACAAGAAGTTGCTCCCTTGTAGTGTTTACGTCATGCTATTTTATTAATTGAAACAAAAAAGGTCCTTCAATAACAATTGATATCTGTGGGCCCGTCCCTCTTTCTTTTTATTTGTAGTTGAAAACTTTTGCACATTAACTTTTCCTTTCTTAAGCTATCCAATGCTGTTTTTGTTTTCAGTCTGCATGCTGGGCAATGGCCAAATCGTGGCTTGATGTCCAAGTTGATATTGTAATAGCCCGCCTGCAACCAGGTAGATCAGATCAGTTCAACAGTTTTGAAGAAGCAATTGAGAGAAGTGCTGATCAAGGAGACGTTGCCTCTCAGCCAATTCTTAGACCAGATAGCTGGCCACTTCAAATTCTGAATCATCAACCTAGACACCTTTCTTCCCTTCTTCAGAAGCTCCATTCCAGGTAAATATCATATTCTTCCAGTTATTGTCATTGTTAGTCTAATTATCTTATGAATTGCTTACTTTAGTGACACAGTGTATGAAGTTGTTGCTCAAGCATGCAAGGAACAGCATAGGCAAATTGAGGTAATAATCTCTATGAAGTGGAACTTTTTATTTGGATTCAAAAGCATGCTATTCCTGTGGAGTTTTCACAACTTATCTGCGATCCAAAATCATGCTTTTATCACCAATGAAACAGTATATTGTTTACAAGACAATAATGTCTTCTGCAGCAAAGTTGAAAAAAATAATTATGAACTCATGAATTAATCATCAACTTACTTTTTCTGAAGTAGAATTAGTTATTTAAATTGAATCTTTTATGTATTTTCTTCTAAAATATAGGTTACGATTCTTCAATGTTTTTTCCTTAGTATTACATTAGAGACACATACCACCTTCTAAAGTGGCTTTTCTCTCTTATGATCAAGATGCACCCCCTTAATGAGGATTAGTTACAAATACAAGATGCTGTGACCTTCTTTTTGTTGGACTAAGACGCTAGCTGAGTTATCAAATAAAGACTTCTGTTGACACACAAAAAATCCTTTCCATTTCTCTCTTTTCCTCTCTATTATAATTATACATGTTCATCTGATTTATCATTGTTGATGACATGTTAGGAAAGTCATATTTTGCTTTGATGCTGTTGAAAATGCAAGCATATAATGTTTTGAGTTCTTCGTTATTTTTTATCTTTTTGAAAGCTTGGTGTATTATTTGTTTCTCCACTTAGACCACTTAGGAGTGCATAAATTTCAGTATAGAAAAAGATACGATTTCAACTAAGTGGCCAAATTACATTAACTAAACCCTTCGTACAGATGAATCTTATGTTAGGAGACATACCACATTTGCTTGACCTAATATGGTCATGGATATCACCTTCAGAAGATGATCAGAACATTTTCAGGTACTTGACGCTGCTTGTTGTCACTTTATGAGCTAAAATCCCACCTTTATAAAAAATCAACTTGACTTTTTACACTTTGTTTGGTGATACTAATTCAACAGTTTGATGTCCTCATTGTCCATGATAAGCCATTCTATTCCAAGTGGACAATACAAGAATTATGTACCAGCTGATTATATCAATAATTTCTATCGTGATCCCTGTCTCAGTTAGCTTGAAATGTATCCTGTTGTCAGGCCTCATGGTGATTCACAGATGATGCGTTTTGGGGCACATTTAGTACTGGTTCTTAGATATTTACTTGCAGATCAAATGATGGATGCTTTCAGAGAGAAGATAATGACGGATGGTGACTTCATTCTTCATATGTAAGTAATTATTCTTTTCCATGATCAGCGTTACAGAATCACTCGTTAGATTCTTGCAAAGTATTTCCATAATACAATATTTAGCTGGTGTCTTGGGAGATGCTACATTCTTCTTATATGTATTGCCACTCGTCAGAACAATATCTTAATATACGTTTTTGAAGCACATTATGAAACCAGATAATCTAGGTATTTTTGTACTTCTTATGCCCCTAATTTTATTTTTCCACTTCGTAGCTTCATTTTTCCTAGTAATATCTCTGAACATAAATACTGGAATTGTTTACCTCCATGTCCTAAAACTGACGTGTCATGTACCCAGTTTTTGAACTTCCATTACTAATACTAGATATTGAAATTTAGGTCTATTTTTATTAACCTTTTTCACATGATTTAGTGCTGCATGCTCATTTTAGTTGTGGTAATTAACTCAACCGTAGCTTGTGAAAATAATTGCTACGTTCTGTAATTTTCTCCACTTGGCTGGACCACCTGGCTTGCAGCTCATTTACTGAGTTGCCCAAATTCAGAAATTGGTCCAAGCCTGACTTCAATGTTATGGTTTTCGACCTGAACAATCTCAAATTGGTATATTCAATTACTAACTTGGTATGAAAAGGCGCCAGTGAGGCACACCTACTGTGCCTGGAGGCGGTAATTATAGTACTTTTACACTTAGGCAGGCACCTCATTGATTAAGCTGCACGCTCAATATGCTCCTCAAGGTTCATGAGGCATGCACCTCAGTTTTGCTGTGGCTTTTGGAATTCTTTTTATCATTTAAATTTTATCCTCTTTTGTAAGTCTAAGCGTGAGTTTCGTATATAAAAGGGGCTTTTAAATGGGCCCATCCTGTTCCCAAACAAATAAAAATTGGCCCATCAATTCTTTTTAAATGGGCTTGTTTCCTTTTTTGTAAGTGTAAGCGTGAGTTTCATATTGAACATTTGCTAATTGCTCTTTATTGATTTATTTATATGATAATTCTATGGGTTTAATATATGTTTATTTTTGTATTGTTTTATAATGATTTGACTTAATTTTTTGGTTTGTGGTGAGGCTAATTGATGGAGATCAGTTAGATTAGATTAGTTTGAATATTTTGATAAAGTCGTAGCTTAGTAGATGTTCGTTTATTTTTAGCTTCTATTACGTTATTTGCTCTATAAATAAAAGGGCTTACTCATTGTATTTCACAACCCTTGATTATATGATAAATTGATATTTTCCTTTGTCCTCAATTATTCTCTCTTTGCACCCCTTTCTTTCCATTCCTTGTTTTGTTCATTCAAAAATTATATGCTCATGCGTCACTAATGCCTCAATTCGCTTTGAGGCTTAGCCTCGTCTCACAAAGGAAAAATGCCTCACTACCTATTTTCGCCTTTTGAAAATACTGATTACTAGAAAACTGAGTAAGGTGAGAGGTAAACAAATGAATAAGGTTAGAGGTACATAAATGAATAAGTTCAACTCTCTCATGTTGAGAAGCATATTAGGAGCTTTCTCGCGAGTCATTATCAGATTGACCTTATTGTGATTGCCTTCTCTAGAGCTCAAGTGTAACTGGCCGTAGTTGCTCTTTCATTTTGTAGTGCAGGGATTTTTAGTAGTATTTCAAGAGCTGCTAAATTGCATTCTGTTATATCTGAAATCTAAACAATAATTTTGTCAATGGGAACAAGTGGAGATCACATGCAAATTGATAACTTTTCCAGTTTCTTGCTTCTAATGATTATTAGAATTGAATTCATTTAGGTACTTTTTTTCTTTTAAACAATAAATAAATAATTATGTTGAGACAATCTATAGTTACTCAAAAAAGCTGTCCTGTCACCTTAATTCTAAGGGTTGACATGTTCCGGAACCTTTTTCAAACACCTAGAAATTATCATATGGATATGAGTTATTACCATCTTTTGTTTTAATGCTATTCCAGGTACACGATGTTCCTGTTCACAAAGAATCGTGAGGAGTTGGTTGGGATCTATGCTTCTCAGCTTGCTCATCATCGTTGCATTGATCTTTTTGTCTATATGATGGAGTTGAGGCTGAATAGCAGGTCTTTTGTTGAACACATTTAGCATTTTTCTGTAATCTTGTCCCCTTCAAATTCCATGCTCAATTATTGGTTATCATAAGCACTATAGCGGTATGTTGATTGAGATGCGCTTCATATTTGATGTTATCGCTATGGGCACTATGTTCATTGGTACCCATATAGCAATTTTTCTATAATTTGTACTTTTTCTCTTGTTATTTATTTTATTATTTTAGTCATTTAGTTATTCTTTAAATGGATGTACAGTGGTGGGTAATTATGTATTGAATTTACAAATATTCATCATTTGATGATAAAAAGGTGAAATACAAAAAAATTACTTTCATAAGTATAGTATTAAGTTTCCCATTATATTAAGGAGTGAACTACTTAATATGACATACCCTATCTCTCTAAACGCGTGCACACACAATCCTCCATTATCTGTCCAGAAGCTCTATGGAGTCCAGTTAAAGATTGCTAACATTTTTACAAGATTGGCAACGAGATAAGATGTGATAGACGGAAAACAGGATCTTAGTCTGGGAACTTGGAGATCATTTTGATATTTGTTTCTTCATCCAATAACTCACTGATTTTGTTTCTGACATATTTTCCCATGAATTGTTGCAAGCAACAGTGGGCATGTTAGATACAAGATCTTTCTTTCTGCTATCGAGTATCTGCCCTATTCTCCTCAAGATGATTCAAAGGGCAGTTTTGAAGAAATTATTGATAGGTATTCTTCATGTCCTCAAAACTTCTTCTAACAATACTGTGAAACTAGTGCATAAAAAGATGATGTTTTCATTTTTTTCCTCTCTTGGACAGGGTTTTATCAAGATCTCGAGAAATTAGGGCTGGAAAGTATGACGAGTCATCTGACGTTGCAGAGCTGCATCGTTTACAGAGCCTACAGAAAGCAAAGGTTATTCAGTGGCTCTGCTTTACACCTCCCTCGACAATTAATGATGCCAAGGCTGTTGCTGCTAAACTACTAATGCGGGCATTGATGCACAGGTAATTATTTTTTTCTTCTTTTAACTTTTCTGTAAGACGGTATTTGTTATTCTTGTTTCAAACATGAATCTGACAGCTTTTCTGGTGACATGGAGTCTCTATCATCTATTGATTTCAGTGACGACTTAAAAAATTTGAAGCCAATTTTTTGTAGCTTGTTTAATTTTTAGGAGGGAACTGACATGTAATTGTTATGGGTTTTTTTTTTGGTCACTTTTTGGAATAAAATACAAAGAACAAGAACTAGTCTTGCATATTTATCAGATTTTACATGTTAGTTATATGTTGCAGACAAACATTTACCCTATGCAATTCAAACCGAATGATCAATCTGAACCATTTTTTTTTCACAGTAACATACTGTTTCGGGAGTTTTCACTTTTATCAATGTGGAGAGTCCCAGCAATGCCCATTGGAGCACACACATTGCTTAGTTCACTCGCTGAACCTTTGAAACAACCAATGGAAAATTTTCTTTCCACAGAGGATCCTGACGTGGCTGAAAATTTGAGGGAGTTTGAGGACTGGGTAAGCTTTTAATATTCTTTCTTGCTTGTCCACAAAGTATGACCTCTATTGCTGATTCCACCTATTATGTCTTGTTATTAATTAGAGGGAGTACTACTCTTGTGATGCAAAATATCGCAATTGGCTAAAAATTGAATTAGAGAATGCAGAGGTTTCACCGGATGAACTTTCACCAGAAGAAAAACAGGGGGCAGTTATGGCTGCCAGAGAAACACTTATTTCTTCACTTTTATTGTTACAGAGTAAGTTATTTCAGTTTTTCTAGAAAACACTGTCCAGAAGCTATTAATGTATTTACAGTGATGTGCACGTTCTCTTTGGCCGTCAATTGCTGTTTATTTTGACTCCACTTGACTTGTTACACCTCTGTCTGATTTCACAAAAGATAATCACTGTGCTTTATAAATAATTTGGCTATTTTTTTGTTCATTTGCATATTTAAGGAAGAGAAAATCCTTGGTTGTTCCCTACCCAAGATCATATTTATGAATCAAAGGAGCCTGTGTTCTTGGAGCTGCATGCTACAACCATGCTGTCTCGACCTTCTGGTGAGTGTATGCCACCTGATGCTACCTTGTGCACGACATTGACCAGTGCCCTCTTCTCGGTAGTGAGTGAGGAAGAAATTCTACATAGACAATTAATGGTAAGCTTATTCCTTCTCCTATTAACTAGAAAGAGATGCTTCTTCCATTTGCCTTTTTTCAAGCTAGGTAGAAATATTGTAGTTATCAATGAGTGCATCTTGGCGTTCCATGCTTCTCTTCAACTAGTGCGTCGCATGTTGCTAGTTGCAGATGGAAGGTGTGGGGTGGGAGAGGTGTGGTTGTTGTCGGAGGCTTGCTGTGGCTGTAGTCCTCTTCTGAATTTTTGGCAACCCTATCAAATACAACAATGATAGCCAAGCCTCGATCCTATAAAATGGGGGTCAGCTATATGAACCACTTTCGGACATTCTGCTCTATTTATTGCTAGATTTACTGGAAGAACTAAAGCCCAGTAGAGCCCAAACAACTACGACAAACTATGTTTTTTTTTCTTGGTCTACTCTTCCCTCGTCTAGCTTGATCGAACCACGACCACTTTAGGTCTATTCAAAACATGACACAACCACCACGTGAGTGCCACCTCCATTTATTGGCGTGTATCGCAACCCTATTAAATGTAAGGCTAAAATGAAGAGATTATTAAGGACAACATGGATATCTCCCCCATGTACCAACCAATTCACATTCTTGATTTTGGAATAGTTATTATCACACAAATTAAAATTCTGCTCAACTTGCAAATCAGAGTGTCTCACATGGAGAAACATCTCTATTCTTATGAGTCTTCATTCTAAGATTGCATCTAATCTTTCTTTTTTATGGCATCCTTTTCAATAGGGTACTTTAACACCTGAATATTACCTGTCATTTTTGGCCAATCCAAATGGGTAAAGCCTTAGTCTCACAAAATACAAAATATTGAGGAAAAAAATTACCTTTTTCTGAATAAATTTAGGCTATATGAATCTTTTTCACACACTGATATTGTTCCATGTGCTGAAAGATCTAATAAAATAAAATCATTTATAACCACATCAGGTTATTGATAGGTTCCTGAACACAGCAAGGCTCCACAACAGAATTAAGTAATAATAAATTGTAAAACTCAATAGGAAGGTATGAAAAATTGGAATTATATTACTGAATGTGAATGTATCTAAACTGAGAATTCTGTGCTACAATGAAGAAAGAAAATGACAAGGATATTTGGCATTCGAGAGGCCAATACTCTCTACACTAGACTACATAATTTCTCCTCCCTCTACTGTGATGATTTCCACTACTTATTCTGTTAGCTCCCAAACTGACTCAGCAGCTGCATGTGACTGCTCCCCACTCAATTCCGAAACTGCCCTTACTCCCTTCTTGCGCCTTTGATAAGTCACGTTAATTTGGGGCTTATCATTGCTTCCCCTCACGAGACTCACCTTGTCCTCAAGGTGGAAAGAAGGAAACTGGTGTCTAATCAAGTCATAGGATTCCCACGTGGCCTCTAAAGGTGGCAGGCCTTTCCACTGTAATAAAACATCCGTACCTCGGAGGTTGTCTCCCGTCCCTGGGCGCACCCCCAGGAGTGCCTCTGGTTCTACCAACATTTCCAAGCTTTCATTCAGCTGTTTCAGTACCTCCTACACAGCTTGCACTGCACCTTCCGCCTTGCGTAGCTGGGATACGTGAAAGACTGGGTGAATGTTACATGTTGGAGGAAGAACCAACTTATAAGCAACCTGACCAATCCTCCGCTCCATTGTTAGGCCGCGCCGCTAATGATTTGCGGCGATACGGTCTCGCCTTCAAGTACACTAGATCCCCGACCACTAATTGTACATTTCTCCTCTTACAGTTAGCTGTACCTTTCATCTTCGTTTGAGACTTTGAGCTCGCAGTACCTGGGCCTTTAATTCCTCTAAAATCTGATCCCTTTCTAGGAGCTGCTGCTCGATTGCCGACACAGGAGTTGTACAGGGCTGGTGGTTTCCTCCCATAAACAATCTGGAAAGGGGTAGTCTTACTGGCTGTGTCAAATGAAGTATTGTACCGGTACTCGGCCCACGACAGCCAACTGAACCATGATCTAGGCCGTGAAGAAACGAAACAGCGTAGATATGTTTCTAGGGTGCGATTTAGGACCTCTGTCTGCCCATCGGTTTGTGGGTAGTACGCTGTACTACGATTGAGCTTGGTACCCTGTAGGCGAAACAATTCCTCCCAAAAATGGCTTACGAATACCTTGTCTCTATCCAAAACTATGGAACGGGGCACCCCATGTAGTCTTACAATTTCTTTCACAAAAATCCCAGCCACACTGGCCGCGGTAAAAGGGTGTTTAATCCCTATAAAGTGTCCATACTTGCTTAATCTGTCAACCACTACTAGAATGGTGTCCATGGTGCTTGATTTCGGTAAACCTTCAATGAAATCCATCGCTATGTCCTCCCATATCCGGTTCGGAACATGAAGTGGCTGAAGCAAGCCCCCAGGTGTAAGCGCTATATATTTGTTCTGTTGGCAGACCGCACATTGTTTCACGTCAATATGGATATCAGCTTTCATTCCTTCCCAGCTGGTGGTCGTTTAGCAACTGCAAAACCTTCTTGAGATGCTCCACATGATCCTCTAAACTTCGGCTGAATACCAAAATGTCGTCAAAGAATACTAATACGAATCGCCTTAGCTGCTCTTTAAACACCCCATTCATAAGGGATTGGAAAGTGGCAGGGGCGTTTGTTAGCCCAAAACGCATCACCAAAAACTCGTAGTGCCCTTCATGTGTTCGAAATGCTGTTTTGGGAATGTCTTCTGGTTTGACCCGAATCTGATGATATCCCGCCTTCAAATCCAATTTAGAAAAAATTTTGGTCCACGTAGTTCATCCAGTAATTCATCAATCATAGGGATGGGAAACTTGTCCGGCACCGTGACCTTGTTTACTGCCCTGTAATCCACACAGAAACGCCACCCTCCATCATTTTTCTTCACTAATAGTACTGGGCTGGAGAAGGGACTGGAACTTGGTCTAATGATTCTGGCCGCTAGTATCTCCTTGACTAACTTCTCTATTTCGTTTTTTTGAACGTGTGGGTACCGATATGGCCTTGCGCTGATCGAGGCTGTTTCGAGCTGCAGATGTATGGAGTGATCTTGGTTTCTTTGTGGAGGGAGCCCCCTAGGCTCTACGAACACTCCCTCAAAAACATTCAACACCTTTGTAATTTGTGACGGTATTTTCTCGTGTCGTTCCCACTTCTACCCCCAAACTACCTAGCTCCAGGAGCACTCCTTCCCGTCCTGCCCTGAAAGCTTTCATCATTGCCTTCAATGTGACCATCGTCTTACTGAGGCTTGGATCCCCACGCAACGTAATGGCCGCCTCGCCAACATGAAACTTCATCGTGAGTGATTTCCAGTCTACCTTAGTTTGCCCCAAAGTGGACAGCCATTTCATGCCCAGAATCACATCTGAACTCCCCAATTCCAGAGGAAGAAAATCCTCCAGCACCTCCACATTTTGAAGGGATAAATGCACTCCTTTGCACACCCTGGCCCCTTGCACGGCAATTCCCGTCCCCATAATTACTCCATATCCCAATGTATCTGTTCTAGGCAACCCCAGTTTTTGCACCAATTCAGCTGACACAAAATTATGGCTAGCCCCACAGTCAATTGATACTACCACATCCTCCCCCAAGATATTTCCCTTCAATTTCATGGTCTGCGGTGGTGTGAGACCCACAATTGAATTCATGGATAATTCCACCATCTCCCTAGCCACACAATTTTCCCCGTCAGAATTTTCCTCCACTGGTTCCCCTTGATCCTGCCATTCTTCATCATAAATGAGCATTACCTGTAATTCTTTATTTCTGCATTTATGCACAATGGAGTACTTCTCGTCGCAGCGGAAACACAAGCCCTTCTCTCTCTTCGTTTTCAGCTCAGCCTCGACGAGCCTCCTAAAGGCTGGACCGGTAGTTCCGGTCATGGCTGGAAGTCGAATCGCCGGAGCTGTCAGAGCTCTAGGGTTGGAGCCATGGAATGAAATCGGGCTGTTCTTCAGAGAATGGGAGTACCCGTTGTGGCTCCAATTTAATTTACCTCTAGCTGGGCTGGATCCATTCATGTGGGCCTTCAAGGCCCGATTCCTTTCTTCAATTCTTTGGGCTAACTCCATAATTTGGTCTAAACCTTTGGGCTGCAACACTCTAATCTCAGCCCTAATTTCTGGGCTCAGCCCATTTACAAAGTGGCCTTCCAATATGGCATCAGAAATGTCGCCAATCGGAGCTGCCAAGATCTCGAACGCAATCCTGTACTCCATCACCGTCCCATCTTGCCGGAGAGCCAGGAATTGCTCCTCCATGGTCCCCTCCAACGACGACCTAAAACGGGCCCTCATCTGCGATTTGAGTTCTTCCCAGCTTCGCACCCCTTCTCTTCTGTTCCCATTGATACCAGGCCAACGCTCCTTCTTCGAAGCATAGAGCTGCTGTCTCCTCCATGGTCCCCTCCAAATGAGTAACAGGCATGATTAACTGTTATGAACATGTCAATAGTTTAATGCCATTTTTTCATTTGAATGTTAAAGGTTGCTCTTCTTTTACTCGTATGATACATTCTCTTCAGCTATGCATTCATGTCTGCTTACACGTTTAACTGCTCCTTATTTGCATTTTCTAGTGCATGTTATTTATTCAATTTTATTTTTATCTTTATATTGGTGGGTGGGGGAGTTGAGTTGAGAATAACTTTTACTTATTATTGCTATCTTTTTTAGTAATGTGATTATTTCAGAAAGCGTACGGAAACCACAAGTTTTCTCTGTTGTCCTAGATATATGTGCATGCATTATGCTTAATAAATGTACGAATGCCTATTTCTTTGCATCAACAGATATCAAAACCCTTTGATCTGTCTGTTTTAACTTTTACGTATCACTTTACATAACTTCTGAATGTGCAGGTGAATGTTTCTATCTCACCCAGTGACAACTACTGCATTGAGGTTGTACTTCGCTGCTTGGCGGTTGAAGGTGATGGACTCGGTCCACATGAAGTCCACGATGGTGGTATTCTTGCTAATGTCATCGCAGCTGGCTTCAAAGGTAAGAAACTGCCAGTAGCTACAATATTTATAGTATACATGTGTTATATGGACATGGTTTAATTGAGCACAAAATACTGCATAGTAGTTGCAGAATTTGCAGTGACTACATATAGTCAGTGTAATGGTGTAATGCTCCCACCTATTTGTATAATTGAAGATCTTTCACATGTTAGCTGGTTCTGCTTTTCTGATCCCCCCCCCTCTCCCTCTCCCTCTCCCTCCCTCCCTCTCTCTCTCTCTCTCTCTCTCTCTACCTCTCCCCATCTCTTGGTACTCATTTATTCGTTGGGGGATGTGAATGGAGTGGGGAATAGGTAGCCATGTTAGGAAACTGGGCTGTAATCTGTATTTTGATTCATGAACTTTTCTGTTTCGGCTGACTTCAAATTTTATCAAAGGAACAATGCCTTGTTTAGATTGATTTAATCTATTAAGCTTTATTGTTCAATTTTGGAGTTAGGGACTAAGGAGTACCTGTGTATTACTTCAATCAGAAACTGTTTGTGATATTAATTAATCGTTATTTCTATTGCCTCTGCAATATTCACTGAGAGCCATCAATATTCTGTGTCAGGGGAACTTTTTCGATTTCAAGCTGGAGTGACAATGGAGATCTCTCGCTTAGATGACTGGTATTCAAGCAGTGATGGTTCCTTGGAAGGCCCAGCAACTTATATAGTTCGGGGCGTTTGTCGTAGGTGTTGCATACCGGAAACGGTTCTTCGATGCATGCAGGTAATAAAGCTTGCTATGTTTGCTAATATTTACTTCTGTCACCATCTATATAAATGTCAAGCTATTAGTATGCATTAAGTTAACCTTATTTCAGAATTCTGTATAATTTTTTTCTGTGTTCAAAAGAAACTTCTTGGAAGTAGCAGCTAAAAACAAGTAGATCAAGTGTTTTTTTCTCGTTTTATTTGTATGTCTAAACTGTTCATCTACAGGTCTCTGTTTCACTTATGGAGTCTGGCAATCCACCTGATATCCATCACGAGTTCATTGAACTAATTACAAGTCCTGAGACTGATTTTCTTCATTTATTCAGCCAGCACCAATTGCAGGTAAGCGAGCTTTGAGTTTTCTGTCTGTTTGATCATGGAAACGGGTAACAAATCCTCATTTTCCCACCTGTGAATCTCCCTTTTCAGTGTTCTAACTTTCCTTACCTTGCTCACATCCAAGTTATCTATAAGTGCCTCCATCAAAGTGGGATTAATATTTATTTTTCTACTCTCTCTGT